TGACTGATTTGGTTTATTGTGTGAGCAGTGCAGAGCTGCTCTGTGCATCTGCTGTCCGTATTGCGGGCCTTCTAGACATCTGGCAGCTCTGGCTGCGATGCATCAAAACCCAACTGGATTACTGTTAAGAGAGGTAGGGTAGTACAGTGCTGCTGAGATACAGCTTGTTACTCTAATGTGAATATTACTTAGGCTCAGGGACTTGCAGGCGGCAGGTATTGGGAGTCCAGAATAGAAAAGGGCTGACCGAGTTGCTTCTCTCCTCCTATTCTCCATGCACACATGGGTTGGTTCTTTATTTTCTGTAAAGTCAGTGTGTATTCTCTGAATTGAGTTGTATTCAGCACAGCATGTTCCTGTTGTGGTAATGCGAACCAAGTAGCAGAGCAAACACTCAGGGACTTGCAGGCGGCAGGTATTGGGAGTCCAGAATAGAAAAGGGCTGACCGAGTTGCTTCTCTCCTCCTATTCTCCATGCACACATGGGTTGGTTCTTTATTTTCTGTAAAGTCAGTGTGTATTCTCTGAATTGAGTTGTATTCAGCACAGCATGTTCCTGTTGTGGTAATGCGAACCAAGTAGCAGAGCAAACAGCAGTGCTGCATATTCAGCACTGCATGTTCCTGTTGTAATGCGAACCAAGTAGCAGAGCAAACAGCAGTGCTGCAATAGGTTAGAAGAGGAAAGATCTAGCCCTCTTTCCTTGTTGTCTCCAGCCAAAGTTGCGGAAAGGCTGTTTTGCTCCTTCAGTACTACGGAAAGATCTATCCCTCTTTCCTTGTCGTCTCCAACCAAAGTTGAGGAAAGGCTGTTTTGCTCCTTCAGTACTACTCAGAACATTGCAAGTGTGAAACAATGTCGTTGTCCACATATCAATATTTAACTGAGAATTTTTACAGGCAGCTAGGCAGCTTTTCCAAGCATAGGGCATGCCTTTCCTCCTCCAGAAGGAGAATGATGCCAAGGTCTAAGCAAGCATCTGGAATCAGCAGCAGTATAAAGGCGTTAGTGTTTTGTAGCATGAGTGCTGAAGAAGTGTGTGGACTTAGAAGTTTTCTGGAAGGAACGCATCAAACTTGAGATGGGTCCGCTGTAGTCTGGAGGGCAAATAACTGTGGTCACACAACGTTTCTTCTGTCTCTCTGTGCTTCCTTGAGTACCTTGCAGCTTGGCTGTGCTGGTATCGATGCATTCGAGGAAAACTCAGGCAGTTCTCGCTTTCTGCATCAGCAGATGGCAAGCTTCTTCCCGGGAAGCCGGATCTGTGGACTGGGCAGCATGTGGAAGAACGCGCATTGCCACATCTTATTGTCCAGCTGTGTTGGCTCTGCAGATGAGTGTGCAGTGTGTCATTGCCACACTGCAAAAAAAGCAGAGGTCAGACCTGGTTTTAATTAACGTGCCATTTGTTTGTGGCAGCTTGCAGTAAAAGTGAAGTGAGTCACTGAAGCAAGCCTTCACTTAGCAGGGCTGGACTCTAGACAAGAGTTATGGGACCAGTTGTGCTGATAAATGATCATCAGCAGAGTTTTAATTTGTAACCTGGAGAGAGCTTTCAGTGATACTGGTAACAGCAAGGGAGGAAAATAAAAAAAACATGTTTTGCTAGAGTGTGTTTTGCCAGAGTGTATTTTGCCAGAGCGCTAGGTGTAAATTTCTCTTTTGAAACATTTGCCTTGAGCCTAGATATTTGTTTGGAGAAAACTGGCTGCACAGATTTCTACTGGAGAAAATAAGGAGTATTCTCCTTGTCTTTTCCAAAGTTTTGCTCACAAAAAATATAACCATTCTAGCTCTTTAGTATTGATTTATCATGTTCATAATGTAATGTTGAAGCATATATTTCAGTGGTATGAATATTGATGTAAATCTGTGGCAATTTGTGCCGGCTGAAGAATCTGTGCCACTGTGTCCTTTGAAGGTATCTGCAGGTCCTGGTTGATTGCTTTCAGGTATTCACTGATACCTGGTATGTGGACAAGACTTTTTTTATTCTAATGCCTTTCTGAGCCACATCCACAATTCTCTTTCTTCCCTTTCCCCATTTTCATGTCAAGATGTAAATTTTTCTAAAATGTTTGAATTTGTAGATAGCAAGCTATGTGAACAAATTTGCCTCGGACATCTCTATCTTGCAACGGTCACTAGCAATCCTGGAATCGATGGTGCTGAATAGCCACGACCTGTACCAGAAGGTGGCCCAGGAGATCACAATTGGGCAGCTGATCCCACATTTGCAGGGGTGAGTGTCTTCAGCTGCTAACTGATAAGGTGGTTTGGTTTGGTTTGGTTTTGCTTTTTCCCCAAATGAACACAGCAGTTGGTAAAAAGAGCGGTATAAAGTCTGGCAACCTCCTGTATGACTCCTGCACCCACTATAAGTGGCTGGATGACTGGAGCTTTCTGGAGTTGCTTGATTGTTGATT